AGCTCCAGTGAGATCCCTGAAGAACCTGCCAGGTATTGTCGAATCTGCCCTTCAATGCAACCATGTAGCGACGGACGTGCTCGTCCTCCTCGCTGACACGGTGACGTACCACCTCCGCGGTGTCCGGATGCCTCACCACCGTCACTGGCCCACGCGACCGCCACCAAACAAGGATCGGGTCAACAACGGGCTGCCTCCTCACCAACCTACGTCCCCCGGAAGGTAGCACCTCCCAATACCAGCCCGGCGGAGCCCAGTCCCGAACATGGCCCTGATCAAGCAGGCCTCCACCGCCGAGTCGACGACGACGAGGATGCAGGATAGGCATCGCCGACGTCGATGCGGCAACTACTTCTATATATAGTTAAATAAAATTAGTTTTATTAATTAAATCAACTATCTAGTTCAACTACTAAGCACTTACTATAAATAAATAAGTAGTACTTACTAAAAACAAACTACTTCTATATATAGTAAAATAAATTAGTTTATTAAATCAACTAGCTAGTTCAACTATATATAAACTACTTCTTATTACTACACATCTAATCTAACAAAAAAATTATTAATTGCTACACATCTAATCTAACAACTATATATAAACTACTTCTTATTACTACACATCGAAACTATATACAAAAAATCATTAAAATTCTATAAACAAAATTAATTACTACACATCTAATCTAATCTAACAAAAAAATCTAATCTAACAAAAAAAATCTATGAATTACATATCAAAATTACTACACATCTAATCTAACAAAAAAATCTAACTAATCTAACAAAAAAATCTAACATAATATAAACAAATTAATTACTACATATCTAATCTAACCAAAAAAATCTAATCTAACAAAAAAATCTATAAACTATATATCTAAATTACTATACACATCTAATCTAACAAAAAAATCTAATTAATCTAACAAAAAATCTAACATAATATAAACAAATTAATTGCTACACATCTAATCTAACCAAAAAAAATCTAATCTAACAACAAAATCTATGAACTACATATATCTAAATTACTACACATCTAACCTAAGAAAAAAATCTAATTAAATCTAACAAAAAAAATGACGGTGACGGCCAGCGAAGGCGACGGCGAGGTGCTCACGTACGGCCGGCGACGGCGACGGCGAGGTGTGGAGCGGGGCGGCAACGGCGACGGCGACAGCGAAGGCGACGACGACGGGGC